AAGTTTACATAGATGACATAGTCATCTTTTCTAAAACTAAGGGCGAACACGCCGCATTAGTCAGACGAGTCCTTAAGAGACTCAACGAGCAAAACTTCAAGATTAACGAGAAGAAATGCCACTTCGCAATGAGCGAGATACAGCTCTTAGGCTATCGTATATCTGGAGAAGGTATTAAGATCAATCCCGGTAAGGTAGAACACCTGTTAGATTGGCGAATACCAACTACAGGAAGAGATGTGAACAGCATGTGTGGGTTTGTAAACTTCTTTTCATATGGAGTACCACACTTGGCTGAATACCTTAAACCCTTTGGACACTTAAGATGTCACAAAGGTAAACTAAGCGACTTGTGGACAAAAGAGTGCGATGATGCGTTTAAAGCACTCAAACACGCCGTCCAACAAGAACCTATAGTACAAGGGCCAGTCGATGGCGTGCCGTTTGAAACAGCAACGGACGCCTCCGACTTAGCCCTAGGATGAGTATTATATCAGGTTATAGATTAACAAACCTAGATATAACAATCCTTTAGTCGAGGGATGAATGCTTCACAGTTGAATTATCCAACTGTTAAACAAGAGCTATTAGCCATAGTGGCAGCTCTAACACACTTCCAAGATTATTTATACGGAAAAGCATTTACGCTTATGTGTGATCAGAAATCTCTTCTGTCTATGAAAGAGATGAACCCCGACTCACAATTACTGAGTCGCTGGCATGATACAATATCAAAGTTTCATTTTGATATAAAACATCTGCCAGGAATACATAACCATTTACCGAATATGTTATCACGCTTCGTACCAGACTTTAATAAGTCAGTGCGTGAGCTCCTAGCTACCGATAGGATGATTTGGCTTAAAAGATATATGGGCCACATACCATAGATATGTTTGCTGCACATCATAATGCACAACTATCGAATTACAGGACTTTAAATCATCCTTTGGGAGACACCTTTCAAATAGACCTCTCCAAACATAATGCGTGGGCTAATCCACCATGGCAGTTAATTGCCCAGCTATTAAATTATGTTCATATACATAAAGCTACCATTACACTGTGTTGCCCCTTACGGAGTTTAGATCCGTGGCTCAATAAATTGATCAGCATGATACAATGCGAGCCAATATATTTAGATAGGGAAGTAGATACTTCACTATATCAGGGTACCCGAGCCGTCCAGAAGACGCACTGGAGACATACAACCAAATGGACCCCTTCTGAGACCTTTCTTAATAAGGTCAAAGAGTTAGAGATTCCACTCTCTACTTACTTGAATGTTAAGCAGTTCAATGACAATACAGTACGTGAAGTTTGTACACAAGAGATACAATCTACTATTGGCACTACAGTTAAGAAGCGTCAATCTCTAGCCCGGACTTTATTTAATAATGTAAAGTCCAAGCCCGAAATCTTTCAACCCTTATTTTTAAAGGGATTAATGAAAGATAACCCGGAAGTACATGCACATATAATGCGACTATTAAATAAGTCGAGTGTAGCAAATGCGTATGAGCGTACTAAAGATGCGCACGCAGTAGAGGGTCAGGAGTCTGAAAACACTACAGACTTAAAGCATACGCAAGTGGATTCCCAACACCCTACCTTTATTCTGAAAGAGCAGAATGATGAAAATATTCTCGCTTGGCTGACGCAAAATCATAAACTGAAGCACCAGAACGTAGTAGAAGCACTTAAAGATGCCAAGCCAAATGGGTTAGCGCACCCTAAGCTGGTAACTTTAGTGGATAAAGTATATCAGTTATGTACAGACTGTGATCTCAATCAGATCAAGCGCTATGGGTTCGCACCACTTAAGAGTGTGACCGAAGATGTTCCATGGTGCAGGGTCATCATTGATCTGGTTGACCTGCCTACGTCCGAGCACACAGGCGACCGTTTAGGGTTTAACTTGCTCTATCCATTAAAGTATAAGAATACGCAGACCGTGGCAGAATTATGTTGCCAAGTCTTTGCTGACCACGGGCGAGTTCTGCGATGAAGTAATGGAATTGCTAGTACTTGTATCAGGCATATGAAAAACCGCAAACGCAAGGCGCGAATGAAACGCGCCATAGAAGACTTAAGTTCTTCTTGCGTACTGCAATAACGGATGATGCAGATGATTGGCCGTACCACCTTAAGTGGGTACAAACATAGATGAACGAGTGTGCTGATCCGGTTACAGGAACTACACCCGCTCACTATTTTTGTTGTAGATATAGTGAGTTACAAATACCCTTTAACAAGGACGAACCTGATCACCATGAGTTACCATGGTTAGAGAAGGTACAACGTATTTATAACGTTGTATATCCTTGCTTGCGAGAAATACGCAATATAGCCTTATTAAAAGGGCAAAAGCATTGGAACACTACCAAGAAGATAGCAGAGTATCAGGTCGGTGACAGAGTTAACATCCGTCAACGTAATTCCGATGCTACTGTATTAACAACTAAATGGATAGGTCTATATAATATCTCTGTAGCAGACACTAAAAGTGGAACGTACGAGGTAAATAACCCCGATGGTTCTAGTGCACTTAATATAGGCGCAAGTCGTATTCCGACTACAGAGATTATATTCGCAAGAAGACATGATTCTAATGTCCCCCTTGACCGCTCCGAATTTAAAGATATAATATGGAGAACGGATAAAGGAGAATATACATACTATCGTACTCGCTTTGTAGACGGTACAATCACTGAGTTGACTTCAGATGCTTTCGATAATCAAGACTATTTAAAAGCCTTTAATTGAAAATGGCGTAAACGCCTGCATAAGTCACAAGCTGAAAAAGATAACATGTTTCCATCGTCTGAAGGCACGGAAGTTAAAACTTACCCGCTTACAGCATTTATCCCGAGTTTTAATGCTCATCCTTCATATGTGCTTAAGACACTGAAGCGTAAGAAACGTCCAGTCGACCACCACGGATCTACTGGACCTAAGCCCAAAACTCACAGGGTAACCGAGAACGCTTAAGTTCTTCGCCTGAGAAACATTAACTATATGTTATGCTACTTAATGTTTCGACCCGTTTTCCTTTTAATCGCTTTTTGGCCCAAAATCAGCTTGAGTGAGCAACTAGCCTCTCTTGGGTCTCAAAGCTGGGTGGGGCCTGTGTAATAGGGACTCTATGTTATAAACCGTACTCTTAATAGTACAAGGAACTTAAGTTTCCTAAATGGTTTTTAACGGTTTTATTAATTAATACCTTTTCCATTTTACATATCAGATGTTTGGATGAAGGCCATTAAAGGCCCGATTAAAATGCCAAAGATAGGATTTGGAATAGTTTTATTAATAGAACTATATTTTATTCCAAATCTATTTATATCTGAATACTTCGGTAGCGAGATGGCTCAACCGAAAATAGGTTTCTAGGGACTATTAATGTTACCTAGTTGATCCTCCGTTCAGCCAACCAGATGTGCCAGTCTGATGATGGCAAGTCGGTAATTCTTGATAAGTGGAGAGTTATTGGTTAGGATATTAACAAAAGACATCAAGGGTATTTTCTTTTTCTTTTTACTACTTTTTTTCTTCTAACGATAGGATTTTAAGAGTCTTTCGAATTCGATCGAACAACGAAAAGATAAATAAAATCCCTTCGGCGAAAACAGTACTGAGAGGATTATATATAGGCAATGTCTCAGCCTCACAATCACTCAGAGTATTGCTGTTTTCACGAGGCAAACTTAACTTTACTAAAAGACTAATTACGTTCATTTTACTCTAATTTCATTTAACTTTAGAAGACTTTATTACGTTTGACTACTCTAAGACGTTAATATCGCCTTAAGAGACCGAAACTTACAGCTATAACTCAGCACACATCAAAGCAGCAGCCATCATCACGGGCACTAAATAATATCAGACAAACTTACTCCACTTTTGTGGCCTGTTCTTCGCGTGACCATTCGCTGACTACCTCGGAGGTTGCCTGGGAATACAACTCGACTCAATGGTCAGCACAGATCCACTCACCCCTCCGACGCAACCCGCCTGAGCTTACGACAAACCATCACTGCGCTTCTCGTACAGTATCTATGCTCACCTGAAAACTGTACACAAAACCACGGGCGGGCGTACACCCGACCATGTAGCTCTCCGCCAACGCTGTGACGACATTAGGAAGCACTCAACAGAACGCTGGTCCAACAAGGAGATCACGGCAATGGCCCGGCGCCAATACTACTATCAACTGGTTATGGGTAAACCGCCAACCGCAAACCAAGACAAAGCCAGACACGACAGCTTCAACCGCTGCCTTGAGTTTACACCAATCCGGCTCTGTGCTTTGATTGTAACGAATATATACATGTTCATATTGCTCGACTACCGCACTGACGGCTGTCTCTGCTCTGTCTGCCCCGGTAGCCACAAATTTACCACCAGCTACTTTACCTGCATCTAACAATTGATTCAACGCATCCTGGTAGGCCCGAAACTGCCACGCATTAGCCCCTCCAGCAATTACAGGAGTGCAATCTTTTCTACGGCATGTAGAAGAACCACCGTACCCTCACCCGTCTCTGGCGCATCTACAGATGTTCCCCATACCCCGGCTAATCACGCTGTTGAAGAACTACTTCCAAATTTCGGTCCAAACCCAGTCATCGCGCTTGTTGGTTCCGCCTATGATACTTCTGATCCAGGCCGTTGGCTCACCCCCATCCTCGCCCCTCGACCGAATTATGGCGGATAACCTGGTCCTACTCGCTATTTCGTACTCTGCACTAACCCATTCCGGGTACACTTTTTAGTAGGTCAGCAAGCAAATACATGGCACACTCGATGGTGTCAGTTTTTGTCAGCACCGGCCTGAACTGACCCAGCGCATATTCGCCATCGTCGACTCACTTGGCCTAAGCTTCAAACGGGAATTTACTGATCACTTATTCCCATCGATCTTTCCCGAACCATTACAACGGCTATGAGAGCCATAACATGTGTACATACATTGTAACTTATATTTTTTGAAATAGATATCATTATCCCTACCGGTGGTTGGCCAGGGGCCCACATTCCAACAATCGATGCTCAAACCAAAGCAAGATGCGGGGGCCCTCAACTGTTGGCTGATTATTGGTTGGCCTATGATACTGACCTCCAGCACCGTCGGATGGATGAAGCCACGCCGCATACGCTCATGACATACCCGGATCTAACCCTAATTGAGGAGTGGCTACTTGAAGCCATCGAGTTTCCAAACACGGTGCCTCTGAGGGTCCCATTTGTTAATGTACCTGGTATTGTGGGTGCAACTACGGGAACCTCGCGACGTTTTCCAACTTAATGGGGACGTTGCCATGTTCAATGATAACTTTGTCTTTTCAGCGACAGTCCGCTGGCGACCGCGACCAGCAGAAAGACACAAGTACGTGTTTCTAAACCAGCACCACTGTTGGTTCCCTCTATCCAGACTGCCAATTGTCAGTGGACAAGTCTTCCCCTCCCACATTCGACCAACATGTTGGTCAGGCACGGGTTGACTGCCCACCAACAACCCCCCTGGTTATGTGCAACACCCACAAACCCGCACAAACCAGTGTGGGTTGCTTGGGAGTATTACATTGTCTCAGATATCTCCAGCGATGCTGAAAAGCAGGTGTGTTTTGAACATCAAGCCTTATACCCACTCACAGCTGTAAACTTCGATGTATATTTCTATGTTTTAAACTATGTTATATAAACTAAGATACAATTTAAGTCAGTTAGGATTTAGCAGTGGTAGCTTGTGTAAGAATGATCGGGACTACCTCTTGGTAAGAGCCTTAATATCCTCGATCACACAGGACGTAGCTGTTCTTTATTAAATAATTTTCACTAGAAGTACTAAGTGTTCATGACCACATGTCTAATTTGTAGATAGACATAAGAACGTATGTCAAGTTGATACATTAGCTAATATAAATAAAGTTTCATCTGAAGAAAAGTTAAAAAGAAAAAGACTTATTGGATTTTGGAGATTGGCGGGAAGACCAAAACCTGGAAGTAGTAGTTCAGAGATTATAAAATTTAGTTTATAATATCCTACATCTACTATCGTCTCAAATAGGTCCAAGTAAATGAGTCATACCAAATACTCAGGCTATTGGGGCCATCAAAGTGAATTTAGAACACTTTGTAAATATTGGAAAGAGAACTTGTATTAAACTATTTTAAATACAAATAAAAACCAATGTGCTATCTCATTTGACCTTGATATTTTAGACTGACCGGAGGCCGTATTTCTACACAGCTACAACAGTAGAGCTGCATGAACCACTCATCTTGGTGTGGAACAAAGGTCTACCAAAGCTCTGGAACAAACTATACGAACTCCAGATTGCTATGCGAGCTTTAATTTCTACAGCCTACTCTGGTATTCTAAAGGAGGGTTTGTTACGGACGCTGGACCTTTATGGACCTACCCATACCACGGCGTATGCTGCTCGTATGTTGTCGGCGGTAGGCCAGGAACACTCCACGTCGTCCGCAGTGGATCGGGGCCGCAGTATGTCGCCCGGTTTCTCTAATCTGTAATACAGAACCCGGAGTCATTCCCGTGATAGGAATTACAGGGAGTGCCAATCCAGCAGTCCGAATCCGAACTTCGGTATGGTAATGGCAGACGCCAGTCTCTTAGCAACGGTGGGCATGACAACCGGCACCATGCGGGAGGCCATGACAACCGTCACCAGGCAAGTGGCAACTCCAGGTCGCCCTCTCGCGATAGGCCGGCGGTAGCAACATGTACTAAATGTCATCTCCGCCACAGGGACCCCGTGTGTCCTATATTCCATACATGTAAACAGGCTGGGCACTACTCAAACAAATGTCCAAGTAAGGTGGTTGCAGCTGCAGCAACGGTTACGGCAGCGGCCACGCGCGGAACCCCAGTTCTCGGTGCGGATATACCCCGCGAGATATGATATACCCCGCGAGATATGATCCGAGGTGTGGTTGGGACCAGTGATAGCGACATACTGTGAGGACGAGGATGTCAATGTGTATGTTGACACAGGGTCTCGACCCGCTATGATCACAGCATTTGCGCAATAGCTTAATTTTTCAATTGTCAATGTTCCGGCGGTATACGTGGAAGGCTCGGACGGTGATGGTACGGCGTCTCTCTCCCAACAGGTCCACACTACTCTTCTTCTACATGTACTCGCAGGAAATGGCTCTGCTACGTCCTTTGAAACGGCTATGGTCGAGTTCTACGTAGCAGATTGTATACCCAACGATTGTGCTGTACTTTTCGGGTTCGACCAGATGAAAGCAAATCTTATAGACACCACATGGGACCGCACCCACCAACCACCACTGTTCCAACTGCTGCTGCCTCGCACCAGCTACCCAGTGGGATTTTTGGTGCCACGTTCGCCGGAGGCTATAGCTAATATAGACACACCACGGGTTTACGGACCACAGATACCGGAGAAACCACCGGAGTATGATTTTCTGCATCTCGAACGACTTTGCAAGATCCTCAATAAGTCACCGGAGGAACTCGCATTGTTGTGCAGCCTGTATAATGAAGCAGCCTTCAATAAGAATAATAAGAAATCTATTAATGAAGTTGTTGTTAAGTTAAAACTCAAATAGGGTGCTCCGCCGTCAAGACAGATCTACCGCACGAAGGGCCCTGTCCTCAAAGCGGTAGAAACGGAGAAGTTATGGATTTCTATGCAGCAGGCAAGGCGGAAACTGGCGACAAGTAGCTTAGTTACTCTCTAGTAAACTAAGTGTACAGCCTACTACAGCTGTGAAGAACCATGGTTGCTTGAAGGAGTCACCTCACCATGGTCGCTCGAAGGAGTCACCTCACCATGGTTGCTCGAAGGAGTCAGCGATGTTATTACCTGTAGCGATGTTTCACCACGAGTATTGAAGGTATGTTCTGATCCGACAGAAGTGTATATTCAGCTTATTAGGCTTATTGAAGTGTACAAGATTAGATAATGACGTGCAAATTTCGAGGAAAAGAATATTGTGTTTAAGCAGCCGGATGGAATCAATGATATGATCAAAAGGAGATTCTTATACATGCTCTCAATTATGCTTGTATGATATAGTTTTCTGCAAAATGGAACTCAAAATGGAACTTAGCAGAAAGTAGTCCTAGATTGACAGTTTTATATCGATACTTAAGTGACATCCTGCGAGTTGGTTACTAAACCCCTCACAATATAATAATGTCCTCCTAACCGAAGAATCAATTGCACATTGTAATCAATATCAATTAATTCGTTTCCCACAAATGCACACCCTGAATCAGATAAGGAGTGGTAAGTCGTTGTCAAAGAAAAGACCTAAAATAGAGCTCATACACGTTGATCACATTACTGATTTCTTACAAAACATATACAAATATGAATCAGCCCAGACGATTGGTCTCGAAATTAAATACACCATAAAAGAGCTATGGGGTACCTTTTGGCATATATCACATTCCTCAAGCAGTTATGCGGTGCTCTCAGTATATATCTCAGTCAGTCCTCAAGAAGAAATTTTTCCCAAGTCTAGGATCGTTGTTGACCACCAAATACAATCACACCCTTAAATTTACAAACTCGGATCTAACTATGAATTAGATAAGAGTTGACTGAAGTACACAACAATCAATATCTAGTTGAACTGCTATCAGTAACTAGTTTAGCCTGCACTCCTATATGATTCACTTATGCAGTATTTACATGTGTGCTACATAGAAGTACACTACGAAGTATAATATACTATAGTCACCCATATATTTACTAAATAGTGCAAATAGACAATAGTACAGACACACACACAACAAGTCACAAATTGTCGAGCCTGGTTAATGACAAAGAAATGCCTTGTTTTTCTCAATAAATAAAACAAACTAGTTTCCGATCCGTCGCGATATGTCATCTTAGTTACATACCATGACGTAAATATTTTGCACTTCTGACGCATGACTGTAAAATGGCGTCGTCCTGGACATAAAAAACAACAACTCCATCATGGTTTTTGTGATTAACCAGTAAAACATGAAAAGCCATTTTGAAAAGTCACCTTTCTTGAAAAGCCATTCCAACCTTTTACCAGCAATTTTTGTGAATACACAAGTGTTTTTGATCACGTTTATTCTCTCACCACAAATACTTCTTATTCTTTAATTTACTGTGATATTTGTAAATTGTAATAGATATGTCATACGATCATATACCTATCGTGCTCCCTTGTTTTGATCGTGTAAAGATTGGTTTGGTTTACATAACAAATAGGGGGGTTCAACTTCACAATCAAGTTTCATGGATCAAGGTGCTCACTTCATCTTAACTCGAGTGTTGAGTGGAAGCGAGGAGAGTATTGCAGGTATTTAAGTGAACTTAATGGCTTTTACCGGCGTACACATTGACGCTCAGACAATCAAGGTCACTTTCTACAACTAACCGCTCAAAACAAACTTCCGTCTTAATTCAAAAAACCAGGCCATACCCGTATATCCCTTCAAACGTTTAAGAGCCCATCAAATTATTCTGAAGTGTGCAAGCTTCGTAGCTGCATTGCCTCTGTCTCTGATCGAACAGTCGTGGGAGCTTGACTAGCCACGAGAGTGAAGCATACGACGACTTCTCGATCGAACCGGTCGACAACTTCAACGAGGACGCGTTTAGCGATTTCAACTTCAACGACTGAATACGTCACGCATGAGGATAAGCACATATATTGCTACCAAGCTTCGATATAATCGGCTGAAGCGGCTTTAGACTATGTATCCTAATCCATATTCGAGGTCAATGGTATGAAATTGTCATCTTTCAAGTTCCGACGAGGCACGGTTGAATCTTCACGGACTTGCTTTTAAGCTTTAGTCTCAATTCACGCACTTCATCAAGTAATATTCAGAATATTTAGACCACATCACTCTCGTAGCTCACAATCACCTATTAGCCCCTCAGCAGATAGTTTGTGGATTAGAGATTTTACAACCGGATTGGACAATTCCGGTTAAATCGTCCGTTGTAGGTGCCCTGGGAAGTTTTAATTTCTTTACTGGCTATTTATACGTCAACCAAAACCGACTCGGCAGACACCAGTAGCAAGTAATCCAATTACAAGCATCCAGGGGTGCAACAGAGCTGAGCACTTTATTACATATGCCCGCGCCTGTTGTAGTTCTATCGGAATATTTGATTGTGACCACATGTTCAATGGAACATCTACTAGACCATTTGTTCGAGAAAGCTCTCAAAAGTTGGACCGTTCATATAACATCATGACCGTCATCATTGCTAGCCATTTTAAACTGCATCGCGGTCCTACAGCTTTTGTACGCAAGGATCCTTGCCGATCATATAGAACACAAAATCTGTGTCGGTCACGTTTATGCAAAAGCTACGCTGTGGGGCGGTAGTTTGTCAAAAATAAATGCAAGGCTCTAAACTTAAAAGCGAGACTTGTTCGCGATTGATGGTAGTCATAGTGGAAAACCAAAACTGGATCCAGCCATTATTAAGTAGCAGAAAAGCAGCGAACGCAATAAAGAAACATTATACCCATGCAGTTTTACTTATATACTTGTAAATGATAACAAACTTGTGTATGACGTATACTAGTAAATGATAACAATATGTTTCTATGCATATGTAACGCAGAATTTCGATTGACAAAAACCGAAAGGGCGATGGTGAGATGTACTGGGGTATAATAAGGCGCATATTGAATGTCAGGGTCAGGGACTGCAGCAATGGTTACTTAGGTATGAAGTTTTGACGAATCAATTTCCTACCAGACTGAATTTTATTAACATTCTGTCCTCAAATTTCTCTAGTTTCTATATTTATATCAGGTCACGTGTATCATGATATAACCTGGTGCTCAACAGTACACCGGTATTCTCGGCTGTTTGCACTTCTCCTGGATCTCCGAATACGTTCTCGAGAGTTGGGATCCAGTAGAAGACACGGAATCTCGCTGCGTTCGTGTTCCCGGGCCTTCACTCTGACGAGAGACGGTTGACATTCTGCGGAAGGCATTTGCCAGCCGTTTCTGCTCAACCAAGTCAGCCAGAAGATCATCCTAGTTCACAGTGATGTATTAGTGCGAAAAAATTCAATGAGAAGTACAGTGGATAGCACCGATTTGATAGGTTCCAATGTTAGATTTGATAGGTTCCTTAGACAGTACAGACTTGAATCCGGGACGAACAACAGCATATCGAACTAGATAACCACAGTTCTCGAATGTGTATAAATTTGCTGTGACTGATTGAGTACAGTGGATGTTGGCCAGCTTTGCTTATCACCAACTCAGCACAACAAAAGTACTTCTATTCAAAACAGCAAATCTTATCGTATCTGACATACCATGTCTGCACCTCCTTCAGCGAGTGTTTCGTCTAAATTCCACGTGCGCGATAATCCCCCTTTCGCAGTTTCGCGGTAACATTCTTCGATATCTAGTCCGGTCAGCTTCATAGTCAGAACAACCTGTATTTCGTTAAGTATTGTTAATACATCGTTCCACCAACTGGTCACGAGATCCCTAGCAGCTTCGTCGGGATTAGAAATACAATTGCATCATATGATAATAGCCAATACATGCTACGACTGAGACAAAGTCGCCGGTGTCCCCTTATGGTGATAGCGAATAATTCTACTAATAACAGTCAAAGCCGGTAAAAATATACATGCTACGACTAACAGACATAACCAATGACACCTTATGGCGAAAACGAATACACGCTATGGTTAACAGACAGCCTTTGACAAGGATTATTCTAAGTAAACATGAAGTACAGTTAATTTCTCAGTTAAAGTGACAATAATTTTATGATGATTAAATGTAAACCATGTCCAATTTGAATACAGGCAAGTTTCTTACTTCATCGAACGAGATCCTATGTCTACCGTCAAGCATGAGCGCATATTCTGCTGCATCCAAAGCTCGTGTCGCACCAAATGCATTCCGTTCGATGCATGGGATTTGCACCTGTGATGTATGATGGTGAGATGCAGAGCTCAGGAATATGGGTCAAGAGGCTCAGACATATACCGGCGGAAATCTGGACATAAACAGGTTCAAACCGACGCAAAAGTGCACGTATAGCAAATGCGAGTTTAACGACAAATATAGCACATGTTCGATATAATGATATAAAACTCGAAGTCAAAGCGCATACCAGACCCTCGACCGGATCGCATGTCAGGCCCAGGAAGTGCTCCATACCCATCTCCGCTGCTGTTTCAATCTGATGGGGGCTGCCACCCATCAGGAATGCTGCGGCGCCTGCAGCCATCGCAGTCGCGCTACCTACCTCTCCCTGCACGTGGCGATTGGATTGCAACGACACAGTAATACTTGAGAGGCATGCTGTTATCATACGTGATCGAATCGTATAAAATTATCTATATGTAATCGAATAGGGCAAATACTATATCCATAGCATACGGTATTAAGTGAGATATATATCGCACGGATACATTATCACGTAGACCATCTGTCACCGATTAAAAGCTGTATCGTCATATAGAACTATGTCGATGAGTCAAGAGAGACCATTCATGTCTGGTTTTAGTAGGAGTACCTATTAAATTTCTCAATTCAAACACATAGCCTCTCTCCAATAGAATATCAGCACCATTTCTTTAAATAGTGACACAGCCTCTCCCCAAAGGTATATCGAGCGCTATCTAAATGTCATCTCGTTTAGCAACCTTGTCTCGCAAATAGAGTATGGTTTTTGGCTATGTTGACTCTATCGAGAGCACAGTACTTTCTTTTAATTATGCTCTCGCATAACGAGAAAATAAACGGCTCCATAATTGAGATTGATCTTCAAACATCGATAAGAAAGATGGAGAGAAATTTATGGTTAAGCGCGCTTTCCACTGTGAACAAATTTGCGAGTTTAAAAAATGTTCACCACCAGTCAGTTTTTAGATAAATAATACAAATATCAGTTTTAATAATTTATACAAACAAACTTGAAAGAATAAACAGGCATACCTGACACCCAACCTCGGCGCCCGAGATAGACGCATTCGTCTTGATTATGTTCCCCAACAGCCCAGCAGTAGCAAGCGCATCTACCATCTCATCCTCGTTTAGACTGATGAATACAAGGATACAGTGCAAGGTACACGTTGTATATATGACACATACTTGAGCACACTACAAGACTATACTCGTGTTAAATCACGTTAAAGAATACGTCGACACTTGTATGTAGAGACCTCAAAGAGTCTGACAAATCTGAAGCACAATCATATCTCACACATAAGCATGAAATACTCACGACAATAGATATGCGTGCAAACAACCAAGCTCCCCCAAGACCCACTGTATCACCACAGCAGCGTACACATAATGAGCTTAAAAATAGCCACAGGGACAAATATACGCACACACACGCACATTCCAGCAGACCACATCATCGCAATATATATATATATATATATACATATATAAAGAAATATACATATATATATCATAACTTGTATTCTATGTATATGTTTATGTACTGTCCTTTCAGTACACAAACGACACGCACAGACACACACACATACACGTAAACAAACAAACTTACTGCACACGTGGACATACTCTAAAGCTCCCTCTAGGTATTTGAGCGTGGCAGGTACTACACCAGACGCTCCACAGGTGGGGGCTGTGACAACGACACCACCGCTTGCATTCTCTTCCATCGCCGCCAGCGCATATGAAAATGTCAACGCATTCCGTTGCATGTGCTTGCCTTTCATCTGGGCTTTGCGATTGACCATGGGAGCTGATCAGGTACAAATAGTAGGCCTGTCAGTTAGCATGGGTGTATACAAAAGTACCTCACACGGCCAATTGGGCACTAGGGTGGATGGTTCTATGTATGAATATCTCACACATCATCTGGACGGCATGATGTTCCTCGCAGCCGCTTATAAACTAGTTATATGCCGCCAATGATGTAATACGCGTCTGAGGACAAGAGTGCACATATGACAATAGAACAGCGCTTGCAATGAATGCATCGCGCATACCAATAGAAGGTCACTCTTAAAACGACTGTACTGCGCGAATGCCAGTACCTAGAAGAATGTTCATGATACGCAACCGGCCTGTATTGTGCTTCGATCCAAAGTAGCACAGGGGATACCAAGGTTCGTCACACAGCCAGGCACAAAAAAGGGACGATAACTATACCACCAGAAGTGTATGATGGGACACCTGTCGCGCCAGAAGTGTTCACACTCCGTTGGCGTATCTAATATACCATGTATGAATAAAAGCGCACCAATGTATACACTACGCAGGGATGTCAATGTTATCCGTGCACTTGGTTAACATCACTGTAGCCCCACAAAAGAAATCGTATAAACACCGAGCCCAGATACAGGCTGAGATCCACAAGTGACTGTGAACGTGACTGACCTTTCCTAGGCACGCCCAGACCCCCAGGAAGTACACCAGTCGTCTTGATCCCACGCCCTATTGTTTCGGACATTGTCTTCCACACCATTTTCAGGTAGTCTTTGATTCCTTCGCCCTCGCACTCATAGACATACCCGTGGGTGGGAGTGAAAGCGTGTGGGTAAGCGGATAGGCCACTGGTGACAAGCAACTGCAAGTATACTGTAGTTGATCTACCACATACACACACGGACTAGTAGATGTGCTGGTATACGGAAGGGACTAGGTCGCGGCCCGACTATTTCTACTCAGCAGAACCGAGTCGCATTGTATGAACATTGACTTGAACACATAGCACAGCGTAACTGAATCTACACACAGGAACGAAGAGAGAGAATGTAATGTGGGAGCTGATTGATGTATGTCATTCCCTATTGATATCGTCTTCAGGGTATACAGTTGAGCGTATGAATTGACAAGCTGTAGCATTAACATGTTGTATTGGTCCCTGATACCTGATATACCGATAAATTGTGTATCACGCGAAACACTAGACACGTATACCCATACGACAGCAATCACAAAGCGTACGCATTTATATGCTGTACTGGTCCCTGTTAAGCAGCAGAATTGTGAGAAAAAAAGACACCACTCGCATCACTAGACACGCTTACCCGCACATACTCGTACAAAAGTAATCCCGAATCAACTTACTGGTGTAAAGATTTTCCTGTTTTGCTCGTCCACTCCAGCATCTGATTCATTGTGTGCAGCTGGTACATATTCCACTCGCTGGCTGCCGCCGACCCAGGCACAGCATCGATATCACCGTCCTCGTCTACTAACGCGCCCCCTCCCACTGAGTAGACCTCGTATGTATCAGTTACCTCGTTGTTGTCGTCTAGTGCGAAGAACCTGATGGAAGTGGGTAGTCTGAGCCATTTGCAAGTGTATGGTACACTCACATGGTTGAATATGGATGCTCTCCATCAGAGCAATCATTGTGGGAGCGATGAGGTAAAAATCCATGTCTGTGACACATGCTAGCACGCCCAAGCTTTGAGCGTAGGCAATAGAGCGCACGAAAAGATGAGCGAGAGACTTGTTTCTAGATGCTCAGATGTATACCAACGTATACACACAAACGCTAAGGTACCGTTTGCAACACGTCGTTCACCAAAGTCTAGAATCTGAGATTTTTGTAAACACCTACGCAATACCAACTTCGCTTATGTGCAAAACACAGGGGCTGGCCCATATCAGAATGAACAGTGCATTGTGCACAGCAAATATGCCAACTTTATCCCATGCTGCAACACATGTTATACTTAGGCACGCATTTCACACGACGAGTAAGCTTACTTCATTCCATTTGGATGGAACGGCAGGTAGTCGTCGGGCAAGAACACAAGTTCGGTGTACTCTTTGCCCAACACTTTGTATATGGCCTGGTCTGTCATGTGGCCTATTCCCGTAGATGCTAGCGACCCGTATAGCTCCACCTGTCAACGCGCAGAAAGAGGACAAAGGCGATATTGACTAAATACATACACAAATACATATTCGATCCCGATTGGGTACATACATACATAGATTTTGCATGCTTCATAACACTTGTGCTACGATACGAAATTAACATCAAAGGACACTCTCGTTTGGTGTTTTTGCGATGAACTGTTGGTTTTGTACGGTGATCGAGTACACTGGGTTTGAGAGTGAATTGCAGAAGCCACCACTAGTTTTCTCTGCAAGATATTCACATAGATTGCAGATATATATATATATATATATATACATATATGTGTGTGTGTAGTAAACATATATATGTAAACATATATACAAATAAACATATATATACATTTCTAAATATATAGACATATATATATAGATACATATGGATGTATCGTCATATGGATATATATGGATGTATATAGAAATACATATAGATACATGCACACACACACACACACACACATATATATATATATATATATATACATACATACCTATATATATATATATATATATATATATATGTGTGTGTGTGTGTGTGTGTGTGT